GTCAAAAGCGGAGCACACGAGCGCGCCGTCCTGCCGGCCGGGCGCAATTGGCCGCCACTGGGGCACGGCACGGCGTGGTAAGCCACGGCACGGCAAGATGGAAGGCACGGCATGGCAAGGCCACAACTCCACGGAGCCGCTTCCCGCCGTGCGGTTACCAGCGAAGCAAATCGCTCATCACCCCATCCGCTCTCGCCAAACCTTCTGATCCCCAGGCCATACCATGCCGTGCCGTGTCGTTTCGTTCCGTGCCCGTCACCAGGTCACGGCTCCCGCTCCAACCCGTGCCGTCGGCGGGCGGGCACGGTCGGGCCCTGATTTACAGCGGCCACAAAGCGGCGTGTCAGTCGAGTCCGCCGCGACGCCCCGGCGCTGTCACGAGCGACAAAGACCCGCCGGCGGCGGCGGCGCTGCGCCGGTCTCCAGCCGTGCCGCGCTGCACGGTTGGAGCGCGCCGGACCCGCTCGGCCCACTGCGTCCCGACAATGGCCGGTCGGTCGGTCCGACGACCCGGTCCCGCCGGCACCGGCGGCTTCACCGCCACCACAGGAGAGGCGCGATGGTATCAGAGCGGCGCAAGACAGCCGCGCTCCGGTTACCCGAGCGGTGTCCGACGCACGTCAGCGAGAGATTCAGTGCCCGCTGCGCCCGTCGTCACCCGGTGTGCGGACGGGCGGAGACGGGCAGAGACGATCACAGCCGTCTCTAGCTCAAGACGACGCACTTGCGGCGTCACCGCCCGCAAAGGCAACAATGTCCTCCGAGCGGCGGTCACTACACCGCAGTAAATATCCCGAACAATGCCGAGTGGACGTCGTGTCACCGCTGCAACAGACCCGCCCAGCGGGAGTGCGGTGGTTGCGTGTCCATCTGCAGTGCGCCGGCAGTGATTCTGCCGTGGATCGTCGAGCCGTTCGATCCAAGCCGCGGACATGGCAGCCGGGTATTCAATTCAGACTACCTGCACGGCAGGACGGCGGATCTACGTCCAGTCCAGTCAGTCGCCCAGTCCAGTCCAGTCCACCTTTCAGCTTCCAGCTCGCCGACTCTGTCTCGGCGGTCGACCGGTCCCAATCAGGCGTCGGGCAGCGGTCGTCGGCCGGCCGGCCCACTGAGCGCCGGCAGACCGGCGGACCCATTAACAGCATTGATCGCGGCCCCACTCTCGGCCACTGAGCCCGCTAATGCCGGGCGCCCATTTCAGGCCCGCTCCGGCGGCCGCCGCCGCCGACCCGGCGACCCGCTCACAGAACGGGGAGAGAGCCGGGACAATCGCATAGGCTGATAACAAAACGCATCCCGGCGACTCATTCTCGAGAGAGCTCGTTGCACAGCGCCCTGTGATTCTGAGAAATCTTGTTTCAGCCTTAAAATGTTATCAGGAAATTTACTGGAAAGTTAGATTAGGAGGCGTTGTTCTGGGTAGGTTATGCCGAGAATGGATGTTGGTCGTTTAAGTTCTGGCAACCGAGTCGAGATCTGAGACCTACGAAGGCGCCATCATGGGATCTGTGGGACGCTGGGTCCATATTTCTGCGGCGGCTCGGACGCTCCGCCGTGTGAACCGTCTCCGAGACGTCTCAGTCGCCCGCTCTCCGGCCGGCGGCGGCCCGGGTCGGCCGGTACTTTCAGTCACGGACCACCAGCGACTGTCCGTGTCCGGGGCGCGGGGTCCGGCGGGCACTGACGGCCGGCTCTCAGTCCGCCCAAATAAGTCACCTGAAGCGCAGTGCCGCCAGATGCAGCCAGCGGCCCGCCCCGGCCCGGCAGGGCGGAGATAATTAGCCGTTCGGCGGCGCGTCCTGCCCGCCTCCGGGCGCGGCGCGGCGGTCTGCAGAGTTCCGTGTGGGCCGAGCTGGGCCGGTCACCGAGCTCGGCCGCGGTCCGACCGGTATCGACGTGCCGCAGCACGGCCGCTGGCGGGCACGTCCGCGCCGGTCGGCCGGGGCGTGCTGAGGCGGCCGTCCGGGCCCGGTCCGGTCCGGCGCCGGTACCCGCTCCCTGCTGTGGTCTCAGCGGAAGGATACTTCCACTGTGCCCGCCGACCGGCGCCGGTCAGTTTCGGCGTCAGCGCTCACTGGACGCTGTGACTGCCGGCCCGGCGTCGGATGGCACCCCGTTCTTTGTCTCCGGACCGGGATGTATACATTGGCCGAGATAGCCCTTCCGGCCGGTCGTATCATTGGTCACGAGGGTCGGGGGCGCCATCCCGCTGGATCAGACCCTATCCCCGGGGTAAACTCAGGTCACAGGGAACACAGCGCCACGTCGCCGTCTGACTGACAATCGGTGTCCTATGCTGACACGGGGAGTGGTATCCATGACGGGTGTCCATATATCGCCACGGCACAATATGTCTCGAGACAAATAGACACTATCTCCTTAAAAACATCTCAGCGTAAAACGTGTGACAATAGCGCTAAAGCCGCTCGAACCAACGTATCCTTCAACAACCCCTCTCAAGGAGCGTTCTATTTCGCCTCATTCAACACCGCGCGACAGTCCAGAGGCTCTCCAAGTCGCCAGCCTCCTCGGTCCCGTTTGAAACGCATTCGGTCGTCACTGGCGAGCCCTTCAGGCGAGCAGAGGACGCCGCTGCCGGCACACCGTCACACCACACCGGTCGGCGCCCGCTTTGTCGGGGGTCGGAATGACCGGCCGCTGGCAGACGGCCCGGGGCTGAGTCCAGCTGGGGATCGGTGGCGTCTGCCGCGAGACGAGACGAGGCGCCACGCCGTCTCCGACGTGTCTCCGAGACGGAGACATCAGACGGAGAGACGGCTGGGTGAGCGAGTGGCGACGAGATTATGAAGCTAATGGGTTATCAGGACCAGACGAGCCAAAAGAACTACATGGGCCAGACCCTGGGCCAGACGAAGCGAGCACACTTGCCAGAAGGCTGGAGAGGCCAGACACACTGACAAGCCATGTGGACTGTCTAAGTGTCTGGTCAGGCTGGCTGGGAACTTCATGGACAATAGGCGAGGGAAGGATAGGCCAGACAGACAGACTGACTGGCCAGGTGGACTGTCTGGTCTGGCTGGCCAGGGCCAGACAGACTGGACAGACGCCCAGACAGACAAACGACCATCTGCTGGCCCTCTAGACAGGTCAGGCGGACCAGACACGCCGCGGAGCCGGGTGACTCATACTGGCGGCTCCGGGCACATCATGCAGTCGGGCAGAAAGCCACGAGCCCTGACGGCATGTAGTGGAAGATACGCGGCGGTCAAGACGAGCTGCAGCCTTGCAAAGGTCGTCAGAAGTTGACAGCGGTTGCCGTCAATCACAAACAGAAGGGTAGCATACTGGAAGTTTTCACTTCACATTCGGCGATTACGATCAGCTCACAGCTGGTCAGTAAACATTCATTGCAGCAATTTAGACTCAATGCCCCAGCATGTCCGACCCCGTCACCCCAATGAGCTTACTTCAAACTCCTCGCTGCCCAAAAGTCGCCACTCAGTATCACTTCAGGCACGGAATAAGTGTTGACTTGGTGGTCATGTGTTTATGGTATTTGCAATGCTTATAAATGATGCGCACGTTGCACAGCGCACTGCAGCCCTGGAAGTCTTACTGATGTGATAAGACACTTTTGATGTGGGTTTCCGGCAAATCAAAAATGACTGACGCCGCGCGGCGTAACAATCCATAAGTCGCATTCCCGCTTCATTCCGAACGAGACACCCACGTGTAAACATTCCAAAACAGGCGACTGCCACTGTCTCACGATCCGCAATGTATCATAAATCACACCGCATACCACATCAATCAGTCAGCTGTGGATCACACAAACTGTATTATCGGCACGTTACACCATTTACAGTTCATTCAATGTAAGCTCTCGCAATACCCCGCTATTCATAACCGTTGCGCTGTGCAAGCGATATCATTGCCGTGTTCATAACCCCACTCCGCCCCAGCAAACCCCTCTCTATGATACGCTGTCGCCGTTTAAAGTACAGTAGGTTCAAGGTAGGTTGTGTCGAACAGCGAACCAGCTTTAGGTTCAGATGTCCGAAGATCGAAAAAACAGGCTGTGGTGTGTAGACTGCAGTCGTCAATTCGAAGGCGAGACAATTGGTCTAACCTCTGAAGTTACAGGTATGGTCGGAGGTACGTACGGTGACTGAGCGATAGACAGGGGTGTAACAAAGGGTTCGGCTTGAATTGTATGTTGATTAGCCGGTTGATAGCTGCCAGTATCAGGCTTGATGTCTGGAAGTCCGGCATTCAGCTTGAGAGTTAACGGCGTTGGTATTCTAGAAGAACTTTGTGAAAAGTATCTGGGATCTGCCCGCTGTGATTTGACGGTAACGGTTGGTATTTTGGTGCGAGTACGCTGCTGTTCGCGACTCCGTAGCTCCGGTGTTCACCAGCGTCGTTGGTTGCTTGTCATCCGGCTGTCGAGCCCGCTGGATATGTCGAATCTGATGTGAGAGCCTGAGACAGGATCGAAGACACAGCCGCCGACGGTACAGTATGCCCGAGGTCATGGAGTAGGGGCACAGGTCGCCAGAGGGGTCACGGGGCCAGCTCGGGTCATAGGTCACAGGTCATGTTCGTGGGAGGAGACAGAGCACAGCAGCATGGGGCAACTCAATCAGATGGGCACTTAGAGCTTTTACAGCTGACCGCAAACACTGCATCGCACAAGGTCGTGACTAGAGATTGTTTCGTCAAAAGAACGGGGTTCAATAGGGTTCTAAGGTGCGTCCAATTAAAATGACGCGAATGAAGCATACAATTACGAAGGCGGAAGCTTCCGGTGGAATATTCACATCGACAGAAAAACTGTCAGAACAAAAGACTCAAATAATTGGTCCCATTAAATGGAACGAGGAAGTGAAATTGAGAAACAAGTCGACATAATTGGAATCCAGTTTGGATGCTCCAGTGAGCAAACATAGACGAAAAGAGCGAAAAAAAAACAAGAATTAAAACCTGGCCGAGCCGAGCTCGCTCGCTCCACTCCGCTCCGCATTGATTGTACTCACCCGCGCAGTGCCATCCTGGCTCGCCGATGTCGGTTAAAACAGTACCGATCTGCAGTAAAGTCACCTCAGACGCACCGCGTCAGTGCGTCATACCGTCCGTCCGGGCGACTCGTCACATAGCTCCCCAACGCACACTGACACACTGACGCCTTCCGCGGGCTCGTCCTGGATCGGTTCCTCAAATCACACAGTTTTCACTTGGTACTCTCGATACCAAATCCCCACGATATGTCACTGTCACTGGTCTCCACACACGTGCGCGCGGAGTGTGCTCCCGCCGGGTGGCGCTCCGTCCTCCGAGAGGCAGTCCCCGGTGAGGACTATCCTCGAGGCTGGGAGTCCTCCCACTCCTCCCCGGCTCCGTCAGCAGCCGCGCCGGCGTTCGTCGCTGCTCAGTGACCTGCAGACAGAGACGGGGCGCTCAGAGGCTCGTCCGCGCGGCAGACCAGCTGGCCGACTCTGCCGCCCCGACGCGCCGCCACCGCCGCCGGACCGCGCGCTATTTCATCCAGTGGCGGCAGCGGCGGCGCAGGGCGGTCGATGGCCGCGGGAGGGCAGGGCGGGGCACGTGCGGCCGGCAGCGGGCGGCGGCGGCGGGCCGGCGCACGACAGACGTCGCCGGGCCCGGCACACGTCGCCGCCGACCTTGTCCGGGCGTGGGTGGACGGATCGCGGCCCGTCCGTCCGCTGCCGGCCATCGGAAGTGAGCCGTCACCGGGTGGTAAATCGTCCACTCTGAGCGGCTGATGTGACCGGGTTCACCCGAAATGGCCGTGGCCGCCGCTCAGAGCCGTTGAGCGCCGGTCGGCGGCACTCAGCTGCGACTGGCGGCGGCCACTTTCATACCCCAGTGAGCCGGGCCGGCACCTGTCAGTCTCTGGCAGCTCTGGAGACGCCCGGCCCCGGCGGCGTATTCGCCAATTGTATTACACGAATCGGCCCATCAACTAGCGACATCTCTAGTGCGACGTCATAGCCATCCGCCGCGACAATGCATGCATTGAGGCTAGATTTGAGTTGAGACTATTTTTGCATTGTATATGGCTGGCAGACATGTATGTGTCGCCGTAGCCGAGTGGTTAGAGTCTCGGTGTGATGGACGACAGGTCGGTGGATCGATTCTTGCTTCAGCGGTTCTTTTCTCTTAAAAAGAAGTCGGTCGTAGACGCGCGTTTTTGGCCCCTACGTTCGCACGCCAATATCGTACGCCCAATAAATCTCTGGCAAGTGTTCATCTGATTAAGGAATAAGTTGCAAAAGAACTGCAGTTGCAGTCTATACCTGAACTACCAATTTTGTTACGGCACTGTCGATATTGGTCAAAGTCGGAAGAGCTATTATGAAACACACTCGAATGACAACGGATTCCTGTATCATTTCATCGATCAGATAAGACATGTATAGAGATAAATTGATGACAGCCCGCCGTGAGCATGCAACTTAACAACCAGTCCCAAGTTATCTTCATAAACGTCTAATATAAATCTTTTGACTTTAACTAGATTCCAAGTAAGAGGACTTAGGTATCCCCCTGGCGGCTGAAATGTAAAAGTTATAGTTAGGGCATAGCTCCTATAGATGACGCTCTGACGGCTGGAAACTGATTATCTCGTCCCGTGATTACGCTAACAGCTATGCCGAACTTTTTTTGTGCATGGTGATTCTTACACGAAAAGCTATCTATCAGCCTGCTTACCAGCGTGCGATTTTTACTTTTCATCTTAGGTTTCGCTACTTTTAGGTACTTTACATTGCCAAGTGCCCACCTACTTTCAAAAGGTCAGCGCCGCCCCTGTCAATGCTGCGTGCTATCACCCATTGGCAGTGAGAAATATTGATCAATGAATGGCCATCGCCCAGCACCATTTGTCTTTCCATTGGCTACGTTCGCATAGTATGCACTATGCATTAGTGATGTCAATCACAGAAAATCAGAACACCGCTACCAAACCAAATACAAACAAAGACCATTGGAAAATACTGAAACCGAACCAATCGGTTGGACTGCAAATATCTATCTTATGCAACATATTCATTAGAAGAATGCCTACGTCTGATTTCTTAGGTGCACGCCGTTACAAATGTATAAAAAACGCACAATGACAGATGACACGAAAATCGAAGTCGCCGAGTGGATTCGAACCACCTACATCTGAATCACCAGTCCGATACTCTAACCACTTCGCCACGGCGATAATGTACCCCATGTAGCTTAAATGTCAATAAGTTAAAACCTAGCTTCAATAGACGCCACCAGGGCGAGGACCGAAAGTATGACGCCACGCTGACGTCACTCAGGAGGCAAGCTATTGGTTGGCCGATTCGTGTAATACAATTGGCGAATACGCGCCCCGGCGGCCGCGCCCGCCGCTCCTAGATCGATCCTATAGGGCGGCGGCGGCGGCGGCGTCCGGCAGGCGAGCTGGCCGGCCGGAGCAGCACCCTGTTTATCATCTGGGCCGGCTGATTCACCGCCACATTCCCCAGATTCCCGGCACGAGTGGCCCACGCCGGCCGGCTGCACAAATTTGGAGAGGAGAGCGGCAAAACACTAACATCTCGCCTCGGCGGAAAACATCTTCAAAAGTTCGGGGTCCGAATTCACTTGGGGTTAGATTGAATCCCAGTAAAAACCGTGTGTCTCACACTATCCGTGTCTTTGTCATCACGCAGAATCTCCAAATGTGTCCTGCAAGAACTTAATTCTTTAAAAGGTTTACAAAGATCATGACGAAATCAGTAACGGTTTCTTTGTTCTCGCCTGAGACAGGATCTAGTTTCCGATCTTCAACATACATCCACTGCTGTCTGTACGGATGGCTACATGCACTGAATCACATGGATCGCGGCATTAAAGATGTAGTAAGACAAAGGTGAGGGCTCGTCGCTGACGAAATGCTACAAATGTCTATGTCGGGAGGGTGTGTAAATACTAGTGCCATTGAATCTCCGAGAATTGTAGGTCACACAATCTAACGGCATATTTCCCAGAGGTCCATGAATTTGTAAACTACAAAGTGACCCCAAATCGTATACTAAGTGACGCATGCAGTATTCCCCACGACCCATCCAACTCTATAACAAAGGAGACAAGGTATGAAGCCGTGTTTACCCGTGTCAACACATGAGCAATCGGTACCCGCTTCTACATATATAAGTGCTAACGATGTATGCGGCCACCGCTTAAAACAAGAATCACTAAACGTTACTGTTTGACAGTGTGGGTTCGTATAATGACCCACATAATTCATATAAACAGAACCCAAAGGTGAATGTCAATGGAGCTCCTATTTCTGTTCAAACCAGGCACCATGGATGATATAACACTGGATTGGTGTCTCGTGGAAATTAACATTGGGATCCGCGACATTGGGATCAGGCCTGCCATCTAGCGAGAGAATTATCGTAAGTTAGGAGCAAGCCGAGTGAACGCCATCTCTCAGCATTATGACACACGTGGGTGTGGTGTGTTAGTTGGCTTGAAGTGCATATTCCCACGAGTTGGAGGTAATCTTACTGGACCTGAGACGACAAAAAAGGTCTTAAATGCTTGAAAGCCAAAAACGTCAAGCAGCCTTTAGGTAATAACGAAAAGAAAATGCGTAAGACGGTGTGTATTGAAACACCCAGCCCCATCGGCTTGTACGACCTTTTATATGGTCATTTATTCGCAATGGTACAGCAGTTTGACAATATGTCATACATATTTGGTAGGCTTATTCCTTCTTCTCCGAATTTCGCCCGATTTTCTTCATCTTAGTGAATGTTACGGCACGTGCCACGTGCCAACTTAGGGGTGTCGAAATTGTTCCACATAAAGTAACTCCGCAATGACTGGGCCCATTACAGTAAAACTTCGTCAATTGTTAGGCACCCAGTGGCCAATGCATTTCCATGTGTCACTATGGGGGTGCTACTGCACGTGCGCACGTGCGGGGTGCCGCTTCCATATCTCAAGAACGGCTGGGCGGATAACACTCAAACTTGGTACACAAATGTCACATCGATGCTCGCACTGCATTGATCAGTGCTTACATTGGTGCAGAGTCGTTAGAAAAACGATGAAATGAGATGCGTGGTGTTTATGCCTTTCTATTCCATCAGCTGATTGATCCGCAACAGGGGATCCCTGTTTGTGAAGGCTTCGTCTCCCTTTTCCACTCGTTGTTTAAAATAACATTAACAATGTACGAAGAAGATCACACATCAAAGCTGCTTTAGGCGCTTTGGGCCAGGGCTGCGGAGTTGTAGTCAGAGCCATCGGTTCTATTCCGACTCGGAGTCGGTTGATTTTTAAAAGCCGTAGTCGGAGTATGAGTCGAACGTCACCGAAAAGTCATCGACTCCACAGACTTACCAGGGCTGCAGAGTCGGAGTCAGAGTCGGAGTCTGTGTGAATCGGAGCGGCGGACATTTAAAGTATTCGTGTGGTAAGAAGATGTGTTTAGTTGGTATGAGGCCATTTCATTGCTGGCAGCAACTGGCTTTTTCTGGTGGCTTTCTTTTCTGAGCTCGTGAAATGACTCTGAAGCCGAAGCCAGCAGTCGTGCTCATGAGTTGGGATGTTATGATTATGTTGAGGTTTTTGGAACATTATTACTGCTCACGTGAGTTAAGATATAGAGACATTGTGCATGTATTGAGAGTATTGATCTCGTACATTTTAAGATTCGAGGGTCGTTTAGCTTGCGATGAGTAAGATCAACAGAAGGTGCATTAGTATTGGGAGCTTGAACGTCCGGGGCATTCGGCAAACAGAAAAGAGACGGGACGTAATTGACTTTTTAAGAAAAAGTAACTATTCGGTAACGTGCTTAATTGATACTCATGTCACAGAAGATTTAATAGATGTTGTGCGTTCCGAATGGGGTAGCGAACTAGTAGCCAGTTACGGAACAAACAACTCTAGAGGCATCATAATATTAATAAATCGCAATGCTGGGGTAAATATTTGCAGTACTCTAGTAGACCCGGGGGGAAATTACGTGATAATAAGTGCTGACTGTGAAAATTTTGGAAAAATTAACTTGATAGCGCTGTATGGTCCTAATGAAGATAATCCCAATTTTTATAGGGAACTTTTCACAAAAATCGAATGTTTGCCAGAGGATCCCTCCGTCTTTGTTGGCGATTGGAACATGGCATTAGATCCGGCAAACGACACTAAACATTACAGGCGAGTGGGAAATCCAACTGCTAGGAAAGTGGTACTAGATTTCATTGAATCTGAACAAATGTGTGACGTATGGCGCCAGCTGCACCCTACGACGAGGAGGTACACATGGCGTAAGCCAACACCGCTGAGACTAGCTAGGTTAGACTTTTTCCTGGTTTCCCCGGAACTGATGAGCATGGTGGGAACCGCGGATATCGAAGTTGGATACAGAACTGATCATAATTTGGTCTCACTAACACTTTTGTCCCGCGCAGCTAGGCAGAGAGGAGGTTTTTGGAAGTT